TTGTCTGTCGGCTGAGCCGCTGCCACTGCACAGACTTCTGTACAGCTGTGGTCAGGGTCACTCTGACATTTAAAACACATGAATGCAAACTCTCTGCTCTTACCTGCAGATCGATACGTTTCTGATTTGAAATTCATTCTTCTAAATTCCCTGATTCTTGTTGCTTTCAACAGGAAAAACTAAACATGCAACAAAAATGATTTCCTTGTGTCACTGTTTCAAATAAAGATTTATTTTTTAATTCACTGACATAAATGTGCTGCATTTCATCACAGTATTTAGGCTTGTCGTATCTTTATTGTGGAAAGAGAGGCTGTCAACAAAAAGTAAAGTCAGTCAGGGTAAGGGCAGAAACATGGAGGGAAAAGGGTGAAGGAGTCCAAAGAAGGAAGGGAGACAAAGAGAAAAGGAGAGAACGAAGGATGAAGATGGCCTTTGAAGAAGGAAGCAGAGGAGGGACAGATAAGGGTGAAAAGAGAGAAACAACTGTCTCCTCAGGTAACCATCTTATTTCCTGCTGTGAAATCATATGAAATAATTTCCTCTCAGTAAATGCGTCATGTTATTTTTGGCCTTTGCTGCACTGCAAAGAGCTTTTTCTCTTAAGTGCTTTTGTTAAAACTGCTTTGGTAAACAGTTCAAGCTGACGGCGAACAAACGCAGGCTGGAACTCCAGAGCTGGGTTTGAACCTGTGACCCAGGAACTAGCAGCCCACAGATCAGTGGGGGCCCCCTGATGCTGTAGCGCACAGAGGCCAAGAATAAAATGGTGCACAGTCACTGCTGAAAATGTCCTGCTTTACTCAGGTGTTTGGTTAAAGAACAGCTGATTATCTTGTTGAGCTTTAAACAACAACTTTCAAGTGAACGGACAGAAGATAGATTTAATGCTTCTTGGAGGACTGGAGTCAGTCAGTGGGGAAGCAAGACTCCTGATTGGTCCTTATTGGCTCTACTAACCTGGCCTGGATGGGAAAATGAACTGAAGGAGATGTGACTGAACTTATATGGGTCTGGCGGAGGCTGCAGAATCAGGTTGTATAAAGAGAAATGACTGAAGAAGATCCTCTGACCTTGGCGTTGGCAGCTGTGTTAATGAGTCGCTGCAGTGATTTGTGATTTTATACAAGAGGAGGTGTGAGACGTTTGATTACACTGTGAGTAAAGAAAACAAAATCAGCCTCTTACATACTGATGGCGAAGAGGCGTTTGGTAATCACCGTCTCATTTCCTGTTTGCCTGTATTATCCACCTGCCTGACATTCTACCTGTTTACCAGCTCTGGCCTGGCTGTGAGACTGGGACTGGAGGAGTCACATGGGTTGTGTCAGGACACACATTTCCTGATCCCACAACAAGGTTTTAACACTCAAACAGGACTTTGACAGAGTGAAGATTACATTTCCAATCTGCACATTTAACATATGCACCAGTATTCTTATTTACAGTTTTGTTTCCAGAAATGTTCGGTCTTTCCAAAATATCTTTCATTTTCCAAAATCCTCACTCATCCTGTATGAAAATGTCCTTATCTCAAAAACATTGTTCATAGTCCAACATGTCCTGACTTTCTGACATAACCGCTTTAAATGTAATTGTTCTCTTTGGCAAATGTCCTCAAAGTTCACAGTCTTTGTGCACGTTGAGCTGTCACTGAAGGTTTTCTCTGTTATAGTGTTCATGGTTCTGAAGGTTGCTTGGTGGGACAGGAAACCTTTAGTAACTGCAGTGTTTTGTGTTTGTTAAGGACAAACCAGCTGAGGTTTGGTGCAGATTCTCCCCCACTGGCTGGTTTTACTGGTCATATAATACAGATTAAATCCATGGAATATTATTATAATATTCTGCAGTAGGTGAGGTTGCACACAGTGGCTTCTCTTCATTTCCCAGCACAGTCATGATCCTCAGTGACAGCATCATCCAGCCCCACACACATAGCCGGAGGATGGCGTGGATGATTTATTCATAGGTGACCTGTGTTGGATTCACATGCTGAGGTCGTCTGAACTCTCATCAGCAGCAGGAGCAGAGCCGAGAGGAAACACCTCCCTCTGAGGCAGCGCGTCCCCTCTGTCGAAGGGGAATTCAGGTAAATAATGCACAGCAGGGGTTGGTTTCATGTGAGCTGAGACAGAATGACTGGGTCAGCAAGTGACAGGAGTTCAGGTGTTTTGGGATGCTAATAGTGGTCCCCCTCCATCATCTGAAATATATACAGTATGTGCACAGGTGTACTGTATCAGTGGCACATTTGAGTGCATTTACTCAAGTAGCTTTGCTCAAGTACTTCCATTTAATGCAACTTTATACTTCTACTCCACTACATCTCAGAAGAAATATTGTACTTTTTAGTGCACAGCATCAGTCTGGCAGCTGCAGTTACTACTGCTGTTACTTTCAAATGACAATTTTTCATACCCTTCCTGTTCAGTGAAAACTTCAAACATATGACATCTTGTACAACATGATTCTTTGCAGTAGATTGAAATCCTCACAGTATATACAATAAGTACTTAAAATTGAGCCAGTCTTAAACAACAACAGCAGTAAATATACACATACAGTACCTTAATGCAGCAGAAATTCAAAAAATATCATATAGAGCGATTTCTGCATAATGAGTACTTTTAGCTACAATACCTTAAGTACATTTTGCTGATAATACACTTTTACTTAAGTAGGATTTGAATGCAGGACTTCTACTGCGGTATTGCTACTTTTACCTGAATGAAGGCTCTGGGTTTTTTCCACAACTGTATTTTATTACATGGTGCCATCATCTGAACCCAGTGAAGATGGTGTCAGTCTGCACAGGACTGACTCAGGTTCTGCAGAGTACAGGGACATGGATACACCCATAACCATGGTAACTGTACACAGCAGTGATGGAGACACCCGTAACCATGGTAACCACACAGTAGCGATGGACACAGCTGTAGCCTGAAAATGTTTAGGAACTATAAAGATTAAAAATAAAAACTAAAATGTCTTTAATCTTTATTTACTCAAACTAAAATCAAAAGACTAAACTGGGAAAACTAAATTATGTACTAAATTATAAATTCACAGAGGTAAGAAAAAACAGGTTCTGCAGTTAATAAAAATTGTATTTGTGGAGTACATTTTAAGGGCTATGCACAAAGAGCTTTAAACAAATCTTACATCAAATGAGAGGAAGCCAAAAAAATTAGCTCCAAAGTTGGATGAGCTCTGCAGACAGCACAGCGTCGGAAGGCCCGGCTTGATATTTCCATTGCAGCTGAACTATAAACGTAAGAATCCAAGGAAGCGTGAGATTTTCCTGAGAATTAATCTCTTTAAATAACAAGAAGTCCTTAAGACTAATCAGAGCATATACTGGAAGAAAACCAATTTACATGCAATTATTTTTCTAGTGTTCCTCTGTATTTCCCTGCCCTTGGTGTCTGTTTTGGTTCTGGGTCAGATTAAAGCCGTTTTCAGATGAAGAGGTGCGACTGCAGTCACATCTTTGTAGAGAAAACACTGCAGCAGGACACGCCGGCTGTCTGCTTTTTCATTGTCTCGTAAAAATTTCCATCAAGCACTGAGGTTTTATGGTATGTGTGCAAATTTAACTGCCTGTTATCGGTTTTCAGAAAGTTGCCTCTGAACAAATGCTAATAGTCAACTGAAGAAAAAGAGGCAGCATGGCTTTTGCAGTTCAGTGCACTTTTTTCTTTGAGGTAGCTCAGCTTGCAGGAAAGTACAATCAATAACAACAATGGCTTCACAGAGCTATATACAATTATAAAGAACACAGGGTGGCAGATACAGTGGATGTGAACCTTTGTGCTAAACTGCAAAACACCACAAGCCACATTTTATGTTGAGAGGAAATGAATGTTTGATGCTCCTGGGATGAAAGTGTTGCAAAAAGCACTGAAGGAGCTGAACATGAAGCTACTTGGTGTAATTCACAACACAGTCATATTAATGTCATGTTATGTTGAAGAAGCTACAAACATCTGTTACAAAAGGGTTTTTAAAGGAGGTTAATTAGTTATAGACATTCGAGCAGCTGTGATGACATGCAGAGTGTAAAACAGAGAAGAAAAAACTGTGGCAACAAGGGACGTTGAACACAGTGTGGGAAAAATCTCTCCAGAAATATTTGTAAGATAAGATTTCACCTGGATTTTTTTTTATTGCTGATTTCCTGAAATCCAATGTGTCATTTTCAGTTGTTATACTGATAAATTCCAGGATTTCCTTAACAAGAAATAATACAAAACTAGCCCTAATTGTGCAAAGTTTGTAGTCAGCAGACTTTGAACCTGTGATCATACCCAGTAGGTCTGTAACTGAACTGTACAAAAAGCTGAATGGATGCTCAAAACACTGAAAATGGCATTTAAAAGTGACAGCTTTTGAAAAGAAATGAACATAAGATCATTTACAGCCCTCACTGTGAACAGTTTTACATCAGAACCGTGTTCTACCAACGGGATAAGGATTGTGGTTATTGATCTGCACTGCATAGACTGTGATGTGATTTGGGTGTACTAACCCTTTACTGTCTCACTGAAAGCTTGGCAAATAACTGAGAACAGCTTGGTTTAGGTATTAACTAACATTTGCAACAAAACCATCAGACACCCAGATGCTGCATAGAAGCAAACAAATGAGGAGGCTGCGAGGCGTCCTCACCGCAAGTCGATCATTTGTCTTATTTTCAGTGGATCCACCTACGCTGCCGTTAGCCTGTTTGTCGAGCACAGATAAATTAATTAGGCAGGGCCGGGGATGAAAGAGAGTGATCATTTGCCTCCCTCTCTTTGTTTTGTCTTAGTAAATTGCCTGACTAGAAAGTGAATAGAAGGGGATTATCAGCACCCCCTTTATTCCATGAGTGGGCAAACTGCGTAGGAGTGCAGCCATTTTTTGATTAGAAACCGTGGGAAGTACTAAGTTAACATTGTGCTGGCTTTTCTTTGGTCCTGAGAAGAACATTACCCTTGCCAGCAGACCATCGCTGTGCTTCTATAGGTAAAGACAGAGCAGAGTAAACTGATAAACCATGGAGTGACAGGAAATAAAACCACCATAAAAAGGTTCATTTTAGTGATGTCAGCGGTTGTGGGGTGGCAGCGTTGGCTGGTCCACAGCTTTGTTATGTACTGAAGTATCTGACCTACTGTTGGTTAGACTGCCCTCTGTGCAGACATTAGCAGTGGTGGAAAGTACATCTACTTAAGTACAATTATGAGCTATTTGTACCTGAGTATTTCCATGTCCTGCTACTTCATCCTTGGACTTCACTCCATGTCAGAGACAAACTATGTACTTTTACTGCACTACATGTATCAGATAACTTCAGGTCCTTATCATAATCTGATGAATCAAATCGAACCCAGAGCTTTCTTGCTGTGAGGCACAGTGCAAACCATTGCTCACCATGACACCCATGACAAAGTCCATTATCTTACTAAATGCACAGTTCATTCCAGAAATGGTAACAAAATACAATGCTTTACTTTCATGAGATAAAGTCCACTTACAGCAGCATATTCCTATTGGAGAACAGAGGATAACTGTTTTCTGCTTCTACATGTGTGCACCCAGGGTGTGACAACAGCAGCCTGTTTTCTTCTAAACAAAATAACAGTTACTGGGAAGCTGTTAAAATAAGAAGCACATGTGCACATGTCTTCATCAGCTGAGCTACAACGATGCTTCGCTTTGACAAGAAACATTCCAACATGACTCTGCACATTAAAGTCAAACCCTTTCAAATATGAAATCCTTAATTCATAGCTACAGTAAGAAGAATATGCAGTATTTCAAAACACTCCTACACAATCGCATCAAACCATAAACACATGTTAAAATGGGTAAAATGGTGAGAAAAGATGAATATAAAATATTAATCAACAGCAAGTCACAACCTCTACTCACTCAGATCACATATTCCAGAGTGAACCTAAGCAAAGCAAACATCTGTAATGTAGGTAACAAACACTGTAACAGTAACACAGTACAGAGTACTCTCTGTAAAACACAAACGTTATAATCCACAGCAGAGCAATCTGAAGTGATAGTCAAAGGCAGTCAAAATCACACTATGCTCAGAATATCTCATCATGTTAGCTGGTGTTATTGTAGGAGACTTCAGTACAGCATATTTAAATGAAACTGTTATTCTGTGATCAAAGTGCATTTAGAAATCACATTCAGTCACATTTATGACCACAGGCACAGGGACAGATATGCAAGGCAGAGATGTCCGGGAACTTCACACTTTTCCAGGATCACCAACACAGGACAAGTTGGTGTCCTGCGCGTCAGTAAAGCCATTTCAACTGACCTGAGACAGACAAAGAGAAAGAGGGAGGGTACAGGAACGAGGAGCACACACTAACAGGCAGAGTCGACGTGGCTGCAGAGCTCTGCGCTCCAGCTCTGGATGTGTGATCAGGGGAAAGACTCAGAGCCAGAACAGAGCTGGAGAGAGCGGACTGACTGGAGCAGGCTGTCGGTCGATGTGTGAGTCTGTGGCCGGGCTCAGGTGGATCTGTACCGGCCCCGGTGTGAATGGGATTTCGCAGGTTGCTCCGTGTCTCCTGTCGGTGCTGCTGGAGGAAACATGCGGCCGCAGAGCTTCCCGGTCCCCTCGGTCCTCCTCCCGCTCCTGCTCATCGGGCTCTGCAGCGGCACAAGTTTCCCAAGTAACATCAACATAGGTGAGTGCGCGTGTGCTGCGGGGTGCCTGCACCCAGGGCGCTGGGAGACCTGGCTGTGATTTCTATAGCATGGTGTCTTATATATTGTAGGCTAGCGCCTGCATCCACGGCTGTAACCCAGGCTGTTTGTAAGACAGATGTCTAATCTAGACGTTTATTATACTCACTCAGCAGCCATTCACACACTGACGGACTGTATGAACGCTCTCCCAGCTCCGTGAATTTCCCTAACAGTCCCCTAATATAGTTATTGTCGTGTACTATTTTGTGCAATTTTGTACATATTTTGAACATCATGCAAAACGGTGTTTGGAAGTCTCATGCTGCAACACGCACATAGGCTGTAAGTGATTCCCTGTGAGGCTGGGTCCTATTATCATCCTGGCCAGGATTTTACTGTTGTTACTTATGTTAACATAGTCAAACTAAGCACTCCTATAGTAATACCTGTGGCTGTGATCCAGTCTGTGGCTGACAGCATGGTAGTACTCATATATTCATGCTGTGACTTACAGTGCAGTACACCGTAGTACTCCCATCATGAGTTAGTTGATGAGCTGCCTATTGTCTGTAGATGTCAGTGTAATCGGCACCATGGACAAATTAGGATGTGTATATTGCTGATTATTATGATTATTATGCTTATTATTATTTGTATAGCCCGATATCACAAATTACAAATGGGCTTTACAGTCTGTAGAGCATATAACACCCTCAGTCCTTAGACCCTCAGATCAGATCAGGACATCTAATGGAAAACAATGGTAGAAATTTCAGGAAGAGTAACAGAAGAAGGATCCTTCTTTGTTGACAGACAGACAGGAAATAGGTGTCATGTGCACAGAGTGGCGCAAACTAAACCCTCTCATGTCTGTAGGGAGGACAAAAATATAGAGACACCTCAGAATATAATGTAGTTCAGAACAACACCACCTTTAACTATGGTCTCAATAACAAACACATCATTGAATTTATAGATTTATGACAGTTTCACCCCAAACTGAAACATTTTAAGCTTCATAAACACAGATGTTAAGGCGGAAGTGTTGCATTGAACTGCATACATTTGTACAGGTGTACCTAATAAAGCGGCCAGTCAGTGTATATTGTAAACATGTATAATAATCCAGGACAATAGGCAACTGCCAGGAGCCTTCAACAGTCCCAGTCCTCCTCTCCAGACAACGATGTGGTAGGAGGACAGACTACACAAACACACGAGGCACAACCCAAACACATCATTCACGCATACAGGAGAAAGGAACAAACAAAAGAAAGAGGACAAGACAGCACAGGAGGGAGACCTAGACAAGAAGAGGTTGGAACTCCTGACGGAGGAAGAACAGCGTCACACACTAATATTACAGGGTTACTGTAAAACCTGCTGCACATGTTAATGATGGGAATCATTAACATGTACAAACTCACATAGCAGTATTACAGGAATTAGCACCACAAACAGTGTCTGTGACTTCTGTTATTTTCATATGATTTTCCTGTGGTGACTTTAACATATACTTGTCAACTTCTTTATCTTTTGACCTCTATATTCCAGTTTAACAGCTGATCATATTGGTTGTTGCTGTCTAAAACATATTACTTGAACAGCTCTGCTGTCTGTATCTCAGCACGTTTCTCTCAGAAACCACTGTCACTGTTCCATTTGTAGACCGAAAGACCTCATTTATTCCCATTTATACCTTGACTGGTTTGTCCACATTGAGTGCAGCTAGGAGGCTATGGACTGCACAACCTGTTAATAATAATGTGATTCACCGAACCACTGGACCAGACTACCACTGCAGCTTCCTCTCAGGTTTGGTGCTGATGTGGCGTCAAGTTGAACTAACCTGTATTTCACCAGAATAAAATGCCTTCTGCAGTCTGTGTGCATCTGACCCTGCATACCAACCAGTGAGCCTCAGCAGTAAAGATCAGTGGTTTTCTCTGGATGTGTTTGAGTCAGTGAGCCCTTCTGTCACAGCAGATGGACTGCTTCTAGCCTTTACATCTCTGAGGAATACATTTTATATTATTTCAGTAGTGTCCCTATAACATCCCCATATTACAGTGTTAACAGGTTTTGAAATGCCAGGTAAAATACAAATAACAAACTGTATTCTAGCTTTAAAATACGTTCTATTGCACTGGTATCACGGTGATTATAGTTGTTGATTATAGTTGTTATAAATATAGTGATTATAAATATTTCCTGTTACTTCTTTATTTTCACAATAGTTCTACTTGATTTCAGTCATCTTGGCTATATGGCACTCTATTGCACTCTTTTACATTTACAGAACAAGTGTACTTAAGTATAACTTTGAGGTACTAATACATGAATATTTCCTTTTCATTCTAGTTTATAGAATATGTAATATGGAATGTGTTGCATTCTTATAAAATAATCTACCCAACACATGATACGGATACACAGTGGAGATGTTGTTGATACAAAGACAAGCACTCAACACAAAGTTATTATTCTTCTTTGCTGATTTGAACTGATTTGACCCCCCACAGACATCTTACACATCTTACAGAGGATAATTGTTGACACTGCAACCCACAGTACTGCTCCTCATGTCAAAGGTCAAACATTCCCCCAACTTTCATAAAATTCACAGTCATATAAAGCATCCCTGACATAAACACAATTCTGTGAAATTCCACCATCTAACTCAACCAACTACAATTAAGTACATTTACTCTAGTACTGCACTTCAATGAATCTGAAAATTTCTATTTTGTGTTACCATATACTTCACAGCATTTCAGAGGCATCAGACATCTAGGAGTTGTTTGCACTTTCACCAGACAGTTGATTTTACCCTTCTAAATTCTCAAAGGTTCATTTACATAGCTGCTCAAGGCCCACATGGTAAAATTATCATTTTTTTCACAAAGAGAGAACACCAAACTGATAACAAATATGCATATCAGAACTTTGTTTTTTCTTATTTTCACCTCTCATTCATCATCTCTCAACCCTTGTGAACCTTTGAAAGGGCCCATCCCTTAGGTTGTAAAGATGGAGTGTTTATTTTGTTCCTGTCAACTACGAAAAAGATATTTGTGTTCCCAGTACGAAAGGCTGGATCACTGAAATTGTTTTAACAAACAAATTTGCAGACATGCAAACTGGATCAAAACTGAAAGCTTCTTACTTAATATGCTGGCAAACAGATAACAAGACATGATCATATATTATGTCAAACATAATATCATTTCTTAACTAATTTAGTTATTTTATTTTTATTTAAGAAGAATGATGCATGGACTAAATATAGCCTTCTGGACTGTCTGGTGTTGGATCGGCAGCAGTTGTTGTGTTTTGTTGTTTCTTTGTTCAGCTGTTTGTACTTCATTCTTTATATCTTACTACAATAAAAGATTTATTCTGGCTTAGTTTGTGTTTATTTGGAAACTAGCAGATATGGTGCACTGATGCTGACTGATAAGAAACTGACAGCTTTTGTTGTCTTGTTAGGAGCAGCCTGTTTTAAAGTGTGGTAGCCTATTTCTACTTTTACTGAAGTAAAGGATCTATTCTTTCACCACTGTAAAAAAAGTGGTTGTAAATCATTTGTATATTCTAGCATAGTAATTAAATGTATTGTTTTTTTTATGTTTATGTTTGTTACTTCTTGTCATTGAATGTCGGAGCTCTTATTTTGTAGGTGTAACATCCGGTACAGGTGTCGGTGCTATGGTAACGTTAGCGCGGTGGAAGTTTGTCTTTCAAACAAGGGGAAACGTCCCTCTTGGTTTTTGTCTAGCACCTGGCTGATGAAGGCACAAGGTTTGTTATTATCCCGTGTCGCATTGTGATAAATACTGGCTAACTATAAAGCTTAGTATTAGTTTTACTACGTTTTTAAGTGACTTGTATAAGCTCACTGCACTCCTGTATTGCCGGTTGAGCAGGTAACGTTAACCACGCTGCTGTGCTAGCCTGGTATAATTTAAATAAAGTGGATTCAGTTAGCAATTTTATGTGTGATTTTGCTCTATTCATGGAGAGTCTGCTATAAATAGCACTCATTTTTTGTTCATTTAAAGTAAAAATCTGAAGGCCTAATAATGGGGGAAAGTACATTTATAATAACGTTAATTTAACACCAGGCTTTAGTGGCGGTAAACAGAAGAGGAAGTCGCTGTGCAGTCAGGGTAGTAATATGAAGAACACGTCTTCCTACTTCAACAGCAGGGTCGCTCAGTCAGAGTTGAAGTGTTCGCATAATTTCCCCGTTGACCCTAAAAGCTACTATGTGGAGAGTCAGTGCCAGGAAAATGGGCTGAATAGGAGCCGAGATAAGAGGCTTTTAACAGCAATTACTGAAAAACGCGACCATGTTGAAGCCATCCTGTGAGCTGACTGCTGCTGTGCCTGCATATGAAACTTTTAACAGCGGCAAAGGATCTTAACTACACTCCTACTGCATCCTGTGTCATTTTAGGCCAGTGTGCCTTCTTTCTGTCTGTATGCCAAGCATGTTCGATGACCAGAAAAACTGTTCTGCAGCTGGTGACAGTAACACCAAGACACACAGCTCAGCCCTAATACATGCACAGAAAACAGACTTAAACGTGTTTGTCAGACCTCAAGGAGACAAACAGTTTGTTTACACAGTATGTAAACAAAAACTCAGTTAGGTGCATTAACTAACATTTCACACACTGATAAACCCAGTGACCAGTGGTGGAAGAAGTCCGCAGATTGTTTACTAAAGTAAAAGTGGCAATACTAGTGTAAAGTACTCTGTTACAAGAAAAGGTTTTGCATTCAGCATGTTACTTAAGTAAAAGTATGAGCAGAAAATATACTTTAAGTGCCAAAAGTAAACATACTCATTATGCAACATGGCACAGTTTACATTGATGTTCATCGATTATAATTTTTGATGTATTATTGGCACTGAAACTGATTCCTTTGTCTCTCTTTGTGTGTATGAAACAGGAGGCCTTTTCCCCACCGGCTCCCATGAGTATGAGGTGTTTCGTTTTGCTCTGGCGCAGCATCAGGACCTCCCCAAACTGGTGCCACAGGTGGACATGGTGGACATAGGGAGCAGCTTCGCCATGACCTACGCCTGTAAGTTCATAAACAAACAAACCAGTGTGATCTGAGAAATGGTAATGTGAGTTTTATGTAGACTGCAGTCACAGTGTTACATTTAGTTTAGATGAAAATCCCTTGCAAGTAGCTGTGCTGCTAGATTTATTTGTGGACAAAAGCGGGAAACGCTGTGTTTGGCTCCATCCCATCCTTCAAGCACAAAGAAAACCAGCTGATCTAAGAGCTCCATCCTCCACCTTGGCTGAGCTTTGAACCAGATGTTGGTATGAAAAGGGTGAAGCTGATTGGATGGTCGCTGTCACATGACCTGTGGTGTGCTTGCTGTTTTCTGAAAAGTTGTGATTTTTTTTTTTTTAATCTTGCTGCAGCGTAGATGTGCATGGAAAAACTGGCACATCGCAACACATGAGCGTTGTGATGGCATCTTGTTGTGCATCTCCATTTAAAATAATGAATTCCAGTGCGCAAAAGACACGATTTATGAACGACCCTTTAAACTGCTTGTTTTAGAACTGAGGTTATGTTTTTCTCTACACAGACATTTGACAGAAATGAAAGACACTGAACATCATGGAATTTCCCAGGACTCAAAGAGTAGCGCACAGTGTGTTTGTGCAGCAGGTTTTTATTATTTTCACCCTGCATCATGTGCAGATTTGACCACTAGATGTTGTGCTCATCAGCTGACACTAGACTGGACAGTTCTCTGTGCTGTCCCCTCCAGTCTTTCTTCCTCTTTCTTTATATGTTTATGAAAAGATTCACAAAGCCCTGGGATGAGTGCAGTTGTTTCTGCTCAAATGGACACATTTTCAGTTTGCCTTGACCATGAACTTTGTATGCAGTCACGTCAGCCTTTCCTTTCTCTTTGCACAATAGTGCTTCCATTGCACAGCTTTCGACTGTGCACCTGACAGATGTTTAGGTTCAAATGCTGGTGACCTCGGTCTTGATGCAGGACCATGCTTGACCTCATATTTCTAATGTACTGTTTTTAGTGGCTGTTACTTGGAAATGTTGCTATTTAACGGAGTTACAGTGATGCTGTCTGGTCCGTCCAAAGTGAGCTAGCTTTAGCTTTGTGTGGCCCAACGTCCACTTTCCAGAAAAGTGCACTTTTTGTCATATTTCCTTTCAGGGTGGATGCACATTGGCTGCTCTAGCTTAATTGCTAATTATACAGGTGCTTATTGGAATAAACAGGGATCACATGTTGATTACAGTTATATTTACTATTGGTAAATTAGTACTGCTTATACACACTGTAGATACTGCGCACGCTGCATTGCTGTTATTGCACTTCTGGTTAGATGCTAAACTGTATTTCGTTGCCTTGTACTTGTGCATGTGTAATGACAATAAAGTTGAATTTAATCTAATTTGCAACTGGTGGCTCCAACAGATGATGCAACGTGTGGATGCAGCTGGTGGTGGAGTATAATACTGGCTTGCTGGTTATGACTTGTCACTGCAACATTAGGCTCTGTGCTGACAGTCCTGCAGGGTTTGTACTCACCGTCATGGGTCAGTGCACTGTTTCTCCTTCATCTGGACTTCATGCTGCCGACTTGGGATTTAGGGAAAACAGAAGTAAATGGAGGCCAGCTTGAAAAGAGCAGACAGCCGCGGTAAATGGACGTAGACCCGAGGGAGTTCAGCACTAAATGGACTGTGGCCCTGGGGAGCATTCAGCACAGTGCACTGGGTTTAGAGAACAATGTGCCGACCTTGTTTGGTTCTGCGCGAAACCCTGAATTCACCAGTCAGCCTTGTTACACCTGAATTTCAGTCTCCACATGTGTGAAGCTTGTGTTCTTGAATTGTCTTGTGGCTTAGCTATGTAGGTATTAATAGTATTTTTTATGTCTCTCAGTTTTAAACAAAACATGAAAATATATTATTATTTTTGACCAAAATATTTTATAGCCAACCCCCTAAAACAATTGATTATCAGCGTAGTTACTGATTTTCTAATGATGGACTAAGCTGTTAATCAACTGATAAATTCCATCTTAAAAGCTAATTATTTTAAATAATTTAATTCAGCCCTTCTATTGCAGGTCACATCAATATAATTAATTGTATCATAAGGAAGTTCAGCTGGGAAGAACTAAAAATGTAATATAATGATAAACAGTTGCTCTTTTGATGGTGAAACAGGTAGACTGAATTTTATGGGCTCTTTAAAAGGTCATCTCTACCCGTTCTGGTAGATAAACACTGTGTCCTTTCAGTCTGTTTGCCTAAGAGTTGTCAAATCTAAATACGGTCTTAAAACACTGCAATCATCCTAAAAATTCAAGTTTTATTTCAAGAA